GGGACCCCCAGTGTCCTTTGCCCCCCCAACAAACCCCTAGGGGACCCCCAGTGTCCTCCTGCCCACCCCCAGCTCTGGGGGACCCTCCACCACCCTGCCATCCCCCAGCCCCTGCACTGGGACACCCAGGGGTCCTGACCCCCCCAAGCCCCCCACCCCACAGAAGGGAGGCAGGAAGGGGGGGGAGGAGGCGTTAAATTACTCCGGTTTATTTATAACAGACCTTCAGCCAGTACAGTACAAAACTTACAGTAGTAGATCTCGTTACACAAATAGGTAATTACAATATCTTACAGATACAAAAGCTCCTGCGGTCACAGGGGGAGGGCGGGGGGGTGTTTTTTGTCCAAAAGCGAGTCTAACCTCACAAAAAAGGGAAAAACAAAGACGACAGCAAAACCATTAACGATATACAAATGAAAACTTGTTAGAAAGGAAGGAGAGGCCGTAGCCAGCGGGGGGGAGTGGGCGGGGGGCTGGGGTATTGCACATCATCGTTTGTTCTTCATACATCTGATTAAAAAATATAGATATTTACACGAGTAAAGCGACCTGGAGTTTTACAAAATTCCTACATTTTTGTTTTAGACTCTTTTACAGGAAAAAGAAAAGAGATGGAAAGAAAAAAAAACAACCCAAGAGCAGTCAGAAACTGCAGAGCTTCCATTTCGGTTTGTAAAAACCCCTTTTTGGGTTTGTTTCAGCACTGAGGGGGCGCAGGGGGGCTCCGGCTTGTTCTCCCGCCCCCAGTTATCGGCAGCAGCGGCCGGGAAGGGGCGAGCCAAGCCCCAGCTCAGCCATCCCCTCTCCCCATTGACACCATCAACAGAAAAGCAAGAAAGGAGGAAAAAAACCCAAAAATATATAAAATAAGAAAATGGGAAATAGGGGCAACGGGAGTTGCCGCCGCGTGAGGTGGTTGTGTTTGTGTCTGTAGAAAAAGGAACAGCCTTTGGTTTCAACCTCAGGAGAGCCCTGGGGAGCGGCTGCTGCTGAGGGGCGTTTTATGCATCCTGGGCCTGGGTAGGAAGCGGGGGCCCCCCCCGGGTGGGGGGGCTGTGGCCGGGGGTCCCGGCTGCTGCGGGAGCCGCGAGCACCAAGGACACAGCGGCCAGTTCTGCCGTGGCCCCCGCCAGGGATCTGTGCCGGGCTCACGCTTTATTTTTGGTTATCGGCTGCTTCCCCGGCTCCACTAAATCCCTTTTGCCAGGGGACCCCGTCCTGGGGGGTCCCCGGCTCCGGACCCCCCGTGGGACCGGGAGCCCCTTCCCTCAGCGTTTCGCCCCCGAAAACCATCCGGCTCCCGGGAATTTGTCCCTGGGGCCACTCGGAGCCTGTCCCAGGGGAATGGGGCTTAGAAGACGGTTGCTCAATGCAGCAGACGACACCCCCAACCTCCCACCCTCTTTCAGACCCTCTGAACACGGCAGGGGGGTCCCGGGGGTCCCGCTGCTGGTGGGACCGAGGGCAAAGCTCTGGCGTTCAGGGTGCCGCTGCCCCGACTCCTCCGTGCAAGCAAGAGCAGGGCAGGTGCTGCGGGAACAGAGGTGACACTGGACCACGGGGAGACCCCAACGATCCCCCAGGAATGCCAGAAGGAGCAACTCGCCCGAGAAGGCTTTTGGGGGCAGAGGGAGTGTGTGTGGGGGAGTCCAGATCCGGCATCCCCACTGCTGGCGGGCAGCGTAGGGGATCAAACCCTGCAGCAGAGCGGGCTGGAGATACTGGCCTGTGCCGAGGAAGAGGAGGAGGAGGAGGAGAAGATCCCAGATAGCAGAATGGAGCTGTCACCTGGACGCTTGCCATCTTCCTGGCTTATGTTTCCTTCATTGAAGCGGAGGGCTGCGGACCCCCATCGCCCCCTCCACGGGGCCAGGCGTACGGGGGACTTCAAACACCGCAGGAGAGAAAAGCCAGGCAAAACCCAGCTTCATCAACCTGGCCCTGCCGGCACTGCCGCCAGCATAACCAGCCCCGCGGGAAGGCGGGGGGGGGGGTCCCTGCTTTATGCTCCATGTATTTAAACTCATTAAAGCTCAGGGTGCAGCGGCCCCCCACTAGACGCAGGGGGACTCGGGGCCGACGGAGGGGGGAGTCCCGGGGGTTTTTAGCACCTAATCTGAGGTTCGCTTCGCCCGAGAGCGGGGACGGGCAATGCCGGGCTTGCACCAAGGAAAGGGCTCGGAGCTCCAGGCTGGCGCGTGGCCCTGTGCCGTGCCGTGCCAGAGAGCCGACCGGGACCGGGGCAGGAGAGGTGGGAGAACAGTCTCAAAAATTCAAGTGAGACTTTGGGGGTGGGGGGGAGAAGAGTTATAAAAAGAGAAACTAAAAAGCTTAATAAATAACAGAGGGAGGTGAGAGAGGTGGGGGGGAAAAGCACAAAAAAGTCCATTAATATTTAAATAACTCCATTTATAAAAAGGCAAATTGTTAAGAGCTCCCCCTTGTCGGGGTTGGTTTTTTTTTTTTTTAGTTATTGATATTTTTTTTTTAAATATTTTTTGTAGCCAAAGTCAGTGCAAAGGAGTATAAAAGAAAAACCAACAGTTCCATGCCCTAAGGGTGGAGGGGCTGAGCTAGAGACAGAGGAAGAGTTGAGGGCAGGCTGGGGGGGGGACAGGGAGAGAAGTTGGGGGGGTGGGTTTAGCCGACTTTATGCTCGCCCCGCACTATGTGGGAGGAGAACTCGTACCGGTCCTGGCTGTGGTAGCCACAGATGTTGCATTCGAAAGGGTCTCTGAAGCCGTGGCAGCCCATGTGGATGGTGAACATGACGTGGTCCAGGAAAAGGATGCGGCAGTGCTCGCACTTGAAGGCCCTGATCTGCTCCCCGTCCTCATTGACCACCCGCAGGGCTTCTTTGGCGGAGCTGGGCGTGGAGCGGGCGGCCGGGGGTCCCTCCGGCAACTTGGGGTCCTCTTTGGCGTAGGCTGGGCTCTGGCGGCTGCTGGCGCAGTTCCCCGCCGGCAGCTGCGAGCTCCGCTCTTCGTGGTTGCTCTCCGTGTCCGTCGAGTCCTGGCAGCCGTTGGTGGGCGATACGCCCTGCTCCCGGCTCCGGTACACCACCTGCACCCCGTCTGGCACATCCTCGTGGCCCTCGGTGGCCTCCCGGCTCCCCGGCATCTCCAGCCGGCCCGGCAGAGGCTGGATCTGGGTGTAGACGGAGCTGATGACAGGGGTGACTTCCGAGATGCAGTTTGTGGGGGGGAGCCGGAGGGGGCGAAGGTGCTCCCCCCCCATCAGGGACAGAGAGCTGCTGTAGGAGGGGTCAAGGGGGTGGTGGGCCGAGACCATCTCCACGTCCTTCTCGAAGCCGGAGTTCACGTCGAAGGGGAGGTCCGAGAGGGTGAATCGCATCTGCTTCTCCCCTGCCGGGAAGGAGACCAGCGTCAGAACGGACAGGCTTGGTTTTGGGGTACATTCCTTCCACCCCCCCCGCCACGATGTCCTCTCCCTCCCCAGCACCATGTGCGAGACCTGCCCCGTCCCAGGATTGTGGGGATGAAAGGCGCTATGCGAACACCAGCCGCATGCCCAAGTGCAGTCTCTGCTCCCGGGGGGCCAGTCCTGGCTCCAGCAACCAGGGGGTCCCCTCTCCCTCCTCTTTCCTGTCTGCCCAGGAAGCAAGGGGGGGGGGAAATCCCCTTACCCACGAATTTCTGAGGTGTCGATCGTTTCCGTTTGGTGAGGCTGTTCGCCAGCCGGTCAATAAACGTCGGCCGATCGGACGAGGGGTGAAGCAGAGAGTCCGGCACTATCTCCAGGTCTCGCATCTCGTCACCTGGCAAGACAAGGGAAACCCAGTTCAGCCGGCAACCACGGGACGGGGCGAGCGGGATGGGCACGCTGCGACCCAGGCCGGAGACTCCGCAGCCAGCGCTTGAGGCACGCCACTCCTGCCCTCTGCCAGCTGGGACGGACCTACGGAAAGGCTCCCGGGCTGCCTGCTCCAGGCCCAGAGCTTACCCCGTCGGTGAATCGGTCGCAGGGGAGCGCCGGCAGCCGGTCCGCCTCCCTTCTTCATCGAGCTGGGCCCGCTCCTGCCACTTTGGGGAAGAGGAGCCGGCTTCAATGGATTGAAGTGCCCTCGCTTTTCTTGCCGGCTCTCAACCCCATCCTGGAGAGACCTGCCCTGCGTCACTGCTGGTGAGGGCAGCTCTGCCAGTCCCATGCCCCGCAGGTTACGGATCATCCAGTTAAAGCAGCCATGCGGCCTTAACCAGTAAACCTCGCCGTAAGCACCGGTGGCTCTAGTGGGACCAGGTCCGGCTCCAAAAGGGTGAGGAGCAAGGAAGGCTCCGGCTTTGGTTCTTTGCCGGCGCAGCAGAGACAGGGGAGTCTGCAGGCTCCACAGAGGAGCCAGAAGCTGCTTCCAAGCCACACGGTGCCCGTTTCAGACACCTGCCCACAGGGGTAAATCCCCTACATCGCGGTGTCGTAGCTGCATTCCGTTATTTATGGAAAACACTCTCGGTAGTTCTTGCACTAGAAATATGGGCCAAGGGTGTGTTTTGATTCAGGGGGCTTTAAAATTTGGCTGGCGGCGAGGGGAGGAACCAGGGAGGTAACACTTTGCACTTGCAGAGGTTTGCGGCATTAACCAACGCACACGCATAGCACCTTTCATCCCATGATCGCTGGGGCACAGAGAGCTCCGGGGCTCACGCTCTCCCCCACGCAGCACCCCCCCTTTTCTAATGGGAAGGATGTCCCCAAAGTTCAACCCTGCCAGCCAGAGACAGGGCTGGAAAGTGAACCTATGCCCCCCCAGTCCGGTTTTCCCACCCTGCCAGGACCCCTTGTCATGTCCCCAGATGGGACAGCAGGGCTCTGGCCCCCCCGACCTGGCTGTCCCGCGGCACTGACCTTGCTGGCTGGACAGCGACTGTGGTTCAGTGTTCAGACTCTGCAGGTAGTTGTGGCACCGCTCCTTGTGCTCCTCCAGCGTGCTCTGCTGCTTGTAGCTCCGGCCGCAGTAGTTGCACTTGTAGGGCTTGCCGACGGTGGGGGAGGAGACTGCAAAACAGGCAAACCAGAGCCTGGCCGTAAGAACAGACATAGTGCTCTCACCAAAGAGCCCAGTGAAGGGCTGGACGTGCGTTGACAGGAGAGAAAAGAGGCAGGCATGGGTCGACAAGGAGAGTCACAGCGGGGCAGCGACCCTTGCCGTCAGACCACCACACCATCTAGCTGTGCCGCGGAGAAAGGACCTCTCCGGCATGTCTTGAGCAACAGTTTCCAGAGCTGGGAGCAAGAGCCACGACCTGCAGCTCTCAGCTCCTGCCTCAGCCTTCCTCCTGACCACCATGTACCCCAAACACAGCTACTGCACACAGCCCAGCAGCTAGACGATTCGCCTCCTCAAATGCCGCTCCCTTACAGAGAGCCGCAGGAGAAGGGCTGGATGCTCCTGGATTTTGACAGATGGGGAGCTATGAAAATAAATTGTAATTTGGCCAAATACCTAAGCCAAAATGTCTCTGACCTGGCTTTTACCTACACTCTGCTCCCAAGACACCAGCGATACGGGTTTCTAGCAGCTGCCTGGCCACATTACACACCTCCAGGTAAACCCTCGTGCTGGAAGCCCTGATGGCAAAGGCAGTATTTAAGGAGGGCAGCTGGACCCCCCAAACTTTTTAAACATTTCTAAGCATTTCTTCATCCTCCATTCACCACAGAGTGCTTGGTGGCTCGGCCAGCAGGTAGTTGCCCCCTCACCAAGATGTGCAATAAGACACTCGCCACACACATTTTTATTCTCATCTCTCCCAGTTTTCTCACTCCTGACTGAAAATCGCCGAAGCCACCCCAGGTCGGCGTTCAGCCTTGCCGGCCAGCGATCACCAGACAGAGGAGGGTTGCCACCGTGTGCCACAGAGCCGGTGGCACTCCTCGCAGTGGGCTGCACACGCCATGTCATTATCTGCGTGTTTTAACCAGCAGACTACTTACAGTGAAAAATCATGACCCCTCCCGAGGGGAGATGGTATCTCTGAACCCCGTCGCAGTTTCCATTGCGCTGCGAGGCTGCTGTCTGCTCAGGGGATGGGGAAATGCAAATGCTGACATGGGGGTTTTGTGCCGCTTGCCGGGTGATTGCTAATTAGGTATAATCACGGCAGCAGACCAGCCAACATCCTTTGGGCACAGGGGAAAGGCCAAGGCGGTCCCCACCCCATTAAATAGTCTGGGAGGGAGATAAAGGGATCTAGGCTCCAAGTGACCTGCTGCTGCAGGTTGATCACACTCAGATGCCTTTTAGGGCAGACAGCTCGTTAGGCAAGAAGATGCTAATGGGAAAAAAATGCAAGTGCAAGGAAGATGAGCCGGAGAGGCGGGTGGGCTCTACAGCCCCCTGCACGCCCCCTGGGCACTCAACCAGGATGGAGGGCACAGCCCCACACGCTCCCTTCTCCCTGGACGTCGCTCCTGACCAGGAGCTCGCCTCCCAAAAAAAGGCAGGACACGAAACTGTGGAGCTGTGCCATGCCAGGGAGGGGGATGGGGTCTGCCAGGGACTGTGGTGTCTGAGACGAGCCCAAAAACTGCTGTGCCCTTTCCCTCTGACACTGCCCCAGGGATGGGGAGGTTGGTTTTAGCAGCAGGGCAATGCCCTGAAATCAGCTGCTTTTGCTGGAAGCCAGAGCCCATCACCCTCTGCCCGGGACGTGCTGGTAGGGACGTCAGCCAGCCCCATGGCTGCGTCACACTCGCTCCGTCCAGCTCTGGTGCAAGGCTCAGGGAGGAGTGCGCTGTCTGCTGCAAGCCACCTAGACCAGGCTCATTCCGTTCCTGTCAGATTTAAGGGGTTGTTTGGGGTTTTTTTGCAGCTTGTGGTTTAACCTTTAACTGCTTTTTAAAAAAACACATTTTCAGGCTGTAGGTGAATTCACATTTACCCCCCGCCCTGGCTCTGACACCTGGATTCATGTGAAGTGTTTTGCACTGCAGCTGAGAAGCAGGGCCAGCACCTCCTCTTGCGACAGCTTGTACCAGATCCTGCCCAAACACCACTGCAGCAGCCCCAAACAGTGGCGGTCAATGAGGAGACCGGCTGCGTCCACACAAGCCGTACCCCTGCCCAGTCCCAGCCTCGCAGCTCAGCCAAGCTGCAGGCAGATCCAGGAGTCCAGGAGCCACCATGGATTTCACCACTGAAGCTCCGGGTTAGAAATCAGTCTGGAGAAGCTGATGACAAGTGCAAATCTCTCCTCCCAGCCCTCCCCAGGCAGCAGCATTGTCGCAGAGCAGCTGAATATTAGTTTACTCCAGTCCCAAGGGAGGCAAGGATACCACTAGCCTCCGAGTACGAACACAAAAATGTGCGTTAGAAATTTACTCCTCAAATCTAGCAATTTAGATGTGAGAGCCTCAACTCCAAATTCCATTTCGTCCATTAATCTCCATCACTTGTGCAGCTTTTAAAGTTAAGAGTTCCCCAAATGGCTCAGTTTTGTTACTCCTAAACAAAACAACCCAAACCCCTGCATGTGTCTGTGCTTCACAAAGCTCCCCTGATAGCTGCGTTAGGATTGGAGTTGGCTTTCCAAGCCAGGAAGCTCCGCATGGATACCCTGAAGTTATTTCCTCAGGATCCAGCCTTCCCTGTCCCTGCGTCAGCTTGTGTTTCGGGGTTCTGGGGGCAGGCAGCTGCCTGCAGTGCCGGGGGACAGCAGGACAGGGAGAAGCCTGGGACCTGGCCATCGCCTGACCATGCTGGGACGGCTCCCTGGGGACACAGGGACCAAGCTGTCCTCCTGCCCACACACCTTGGCAGCAAAGGTCTCGCTCCCAGCGTCGAGGCTCCTCTGGGGCTCTGCCCATGCCGCAGCGATGCCCTGCCACGGTGGTTTGCTAAGTCTGCGCTGGGTTTCCCCTCGCAGAGGGTCAGCTACGGCTCAGGGACAGCGTTTTACGGTGGCTGCAGGACAAGGAGGGAGGCTCTGTCCTGAGCCAGGCTTTGCAATGCAATCAGTCGCTTTTCTTTTTACTCCTTAGTCTGTTCTTTGAAAATGTCCTCTTTTACCCACTGACACGTGCTTGTGTCTCAGGTGGACTTGGTCCATCTGTCACCTAACACGAGCGAGAGGCTTCCAACAAGCAACGAGGTCTGTTTAGGATCCCCAAAGTTCTTCACTCATGTAATACCCAAAACATAAGCAAGGGGGACGCTCTCCTCGCCACCGGGCCCCACCAGGAGAAGTTTCTTCTGACCAAGTACAACAAACAGAAAGGATCCCTCTGAACACAAACTCCAGGTTCGTTTATTTACTGGGCTGCGAAGCAGTGAGGACTAAAAGGGAGGGAAGTCTCAGGGGACCGGCGGCAAGTCTCAGCTGTCCCGGGTGTGGGCTGCAGCTTCTGATCTATTTCAGAGCAACGCAGCATGTTTGATCTGGATTTTAATACCTCACTTTTTTGGACAGCACATCTTCCGAGATGAAAGCTCAGCATCCCTCATGGGGATGGCATGAAACGCACATGCCTCTAGTTAAGGCAGAGGGAGGGAAAGCCAAGCCCCACTGCCTTCCACCCAGGCAGGGTAACCGTTAGACTTTTGCCTGTGAAATCCACATTAAACGAAGGTTTTTCTTAGTAATTAGCTCCCATAAAGACTAATTTTTGTTTGATATGTTGAGGGCTTGTCCCATTTCTGTGTCTCTTGACTGAAGGACTCAAGGCGACCCTTTCCACGCCTGGCAGTGGGGAGACGTTGTCACAGCTCTGTGAAGGACCCACCTCTGGATGTTCAGCGAGGGCGAACGTGGTGGACAGGCACAGCCTGAGAGGGGGATCTTGACCCACAAGAAAAGACATGACCAAGGAGTCCAGAAATGACCCTGCATCCCTGGGCCTGGACGGCTTGGGGTCCCCTGAAGCACATTAATTAGGAGAAAGCCCCCATGAGCACGAGGCAGGCTTGGAGCAGGATCTCACCAGCCACGGCAGCTGCTGGTGCAGCATGTGCCCCTTGGCTCAGGTCTGCACATCTGCCCTCACGACTCTCTCGGCTGCCAGCGAGTCGGGGTTCCCGGAATGGGGCTCAGCCACCTAGCGCCCCAAAACCCCACATACCAACACGGAAGGGATGGGGAGGGTTTAAACAAAGCAAAAAACGGAGACCTTCCTAATGGGACTCTGCTCCGGACACACCAGAGTATTTTTTTTCAAAAATCCAGGAGCCATCCAGCTTTGGAGCACCTATCCCCTGCCAAAAACCCGTGCGCTGAAGGTCCCCAGGCAGGGGCTCGTCAGCAGCACCCTGGAAGGGCAGAGGGCAGAGCCGCCGGCAAGGCGAGCTCGCTGCAGATGGATGCCAAAGCCCTCCGCTCCACCGCGGTAACTCCTCCCCGAGCCGATGCAGCGCTGCCCAAGATGGAGCGCGGCTCGGCACGCCGGCCGAGCTGCTGCCGCTCGGAGCAGCTGGGGGCGGAGGGGAGGAAGATGGATGATGCTGATTGCTCCAGACTGAAGGACTCGTCAGGAGAGCTGAAGGCCTTGAGGTGGAGTGGCCATGGCTCAGCTGCTCCGAGCAGCCGCTGCGGTGCTTCGCGGGGAGCCGGGCTGTCACCGGAGCCTGGCTTTCCTTACCCTCCAAGCAGGGCAGGAGTAGATGCACACACTCTTTGCTCTCTAGAGTTAATGACACGAGGCTTTTTACCTCCAACTACTGCCTTCTTGCTTTTTTCCAACCCTCCCCCCCTTTATAGATTAGGAAAGAACATGGGGAAAGGATTTCTTTGGCATTTCTCCCCATTAACTGGCAAAGCCTGGGGCCGCTAACTTCACCTCCTCCCCCAGGGTGAAACCAACTCTTTCCCGATCACCTGGGTATCGGAAACGCCACCCGCTGCCATATTCCGGCCACGCTGGAGAACCAAACCAGAGACTAAAAAAGTTTTACACTGAGAAGCAGCTGTCCCTTAGCAGCAGGGATGTCCAGAGACAAAAATATAATGGATGGGAAGCTCCTGCAAACTCCCCAAACCTCCTCCCACAGAGATGCCAGGCAAGAACCAACAGCCCCATTTCCAGGCTTTGCACCTTGCTTTGGGGGTCAAACCACCTGGATTCCCCTCCGGCATCTCCCATAAAGTCTCAGATGTGTGTGCAGGAGGGAGATAAATCCCAAAAGAAACTGCAAAGTGGGAAGATTTGTCCACAGCAAGATGGTAGCTTAAGCCCAGAGCATCGCACCCTCCGACTGAGAAGGGCAGAAACTTAAATAAAATCGAGGCTCTCAGGCCAGGCTGCGAGGGGGGAGCAGGCTTCTGGGCTCCTGGGCAAGACTGCAATGAGAACAGGCTCTTTAGGGGACAGGTTTCTTCCTTCAAGGAAGCACACGACACTCATTTCCATGCAGCACTCAAAAGGTTAGAGAGAGTCACAGGTGTTCAAAGCCATCTGTGTGAACTTTAAAAGCCCCAGCAGCACCACAGAAACACGCCGGTACGCAAATCAAGGGAAAACAATCACAAACCAGGGGGCCGGCTGGCGTACTTCACTCCCACCCATGGCCCCAGCCAGCTGTTACATCACGGAACCGGAGGGTGAAAACCACATCTCAAATGTCATATTTAAAAAGGACAATGTCAAAACAACACACAAACAAAACCCCTCAGCACTCATTTTCACTGGGGCAGGGCACACCCAAGGGTGGGACCTATCTTGACTCAATAAAATCTATTAAACATTTATCTTTATAAGTAAGAGATGCAATAACCCCCAGGAATGACTGGAACAAAGCAGCACAAAGCCCCGCAGACGGCCCTCTGGTCAGCGGAGTTCCCAGACCATTAACCAGACACTGACACAACCTCCCCCAGGCACATGCTCTGCCTTCGGCAGGTCGGCTCTGCACCACGACAGCAGCGTGGTGACCGCAGCAAGTCGGAAGCCGGTAAGGGACCAAGTTTGGCTGCTGTCAGTTGGGACCTTGAGGCTGGCGCTTTTGGAAGCTGGCCTCAAATCCATGGTTTTGTACCATCATTATGTGTTCCTTCTCTGCCTCCCCACCCCTTCCCAGCCCGTGGCCGGCCAGAGCTACCCACCGGAGTGCGTTCGCAGGTGGCCGGTGAGCGCATCCCTCCTGCGGCAGGCGTAGTTGCAGAAGGGACATTTGAAGGGCTTCTCGCCAGAGTGCAGTTTGATGTGACGCAGGAGGTTTCCCTTCTGGGTGAAGGAGGCTCCGCACTGGTTGCAGTGGAATGGTCTTTCTCCTGCAAAACCAGAGCAGTGGGTGAAACTCACAATTAAAAGCACTTTCCAAGTCTGCAGAGGAGCAGCTCTCAAACCAACAGCCTGGGAGACCAGAAGCATTCACGGGTTCAGCAGCACTGAGCCTGTTGGACAGGGAAAACCCTAGGTTAACTACCAAACGCAGTGCTCTGGATGTGACCCCCAATGTAGGGAGTGACAGATCTGCTGCTGGAGGTTGGACAGTGACGAGGAAAGACCAGCTACATGCACTTTCCTGGACCTTTCCTCATTAGCATCTTCTGGCCACCATCACTGGGGTCAGCATCTTGGACCCAATACCCATCTCCCACAGCATCCGTGCCCACCAGCCAACACATGCTTGCCACCTGGCTTCAGAAATTCACTTTTCTCCAGCCCAGGCTGCCCCTGCCCCAGCAGCAATGCCAGCCTCGGGGCTGCCACTCACCAGTGTGGCTGCGCTTGTGCACCATCAGCACGTTGGGGCCGATGCACACCATCCCACAGATGTCGCATTTCAGCTTGCCGTTGGGCAGTCGAATGCCCCCGGGGGAGTGAGGGTCCTGGCCTGTCCCATCACAGTAGCCCAGGGGCTCTGAAAGCGAGTCCTCCACGATCACACTGTCCTCCTTCTCAAGCATCCGATCATCCTGTGACAGCAGCCGGCTGGCTTCCTCATCGCTGTACATCTCCACCTTGATAGAATTTGCTACAAGGAGGCAGAAGGGATAAGACACAGTCAGTGGAGAAAAAACTCTTAAATTAAAGAAGTCTGGAGCACAGCTTAGGCAAGACTTACTCCTAAAAGAAATACTGTAATGAGTTAAGTGATTTGTTTGCGATAAATGTGCATCTTATTTTGTCGACTGCTCAAGAACCGACATCATACACGGATCACAGGAGGTTATGGGCTGGACGGATTGTTTGCACACCCCGCAGATTACGGCTCTGCATCTTCCTTTGTAAGGTGACTGACTGAAGAAAAAGACATTTAGTTCCCTGAATTCAAAGGCAGAAGGGGAAAGAAAAACCACTCGTGCTTTTAAAGTACTGCAGACGAAGTAAAGACACCAAATTTTGACACTCTGAAGCAATAAAGGGCTCAAAATCCACTAGCACAAAGAGCTTAACACGAGTCTCTTGGATAGTCAGTAAATTCGGCTCATTAGAGAAGCCATTGCTTCACCGCAAGTTTTCATCTTTGCTACAAGACCTGGGATCCATCAACTATCTAAAGGCAGAAAAAAGAAACCAAAGAGAGGACGGTGCTGTCTGAAAACCCCCACCCCTGCCCAAGGCGTGCTGATCACTGCCTCACCAGCAGCCCTGGCTCAGACCAGGCTCCCTGCAGGCAGCTCTGTCTCTTCCTCTTCCCTCAACTGCCAAAGAGGCTGCAGGAATCGTGTCGAATGCAGGGAGGGGACAAACATGCAGACACCTGTGGGGTGGTGTTTGGGCACCGAAAACCCTGAGAAGGCTTGTGTGAAACTAGGGAAGTGAATGTGAGCGATGCCAGGGACAAGGGAAAGGTCCCACAGCTGAGGGCTGGTGACTCCCAAGAGCAGCTGCTCCGCAGCGGTTTTGGTCCAGACAAGAGCAGAGAGAGGGCAGAAGCCGAAGGAACCATGCTCAAGAACCCCACCAAAGCTGGATGAAAGAGGGGCGCGGGGCCAGGGCAGCAGGTGGGTCTCCCCGCCGCAGGACGGGTGCTGCAACAAAGCCCCCAGGTTTCCCTCCCCATCGCTACCTTTCCTTCCTCCTGCTGCATCAGGAGCGGAGGCTGGCGAGGGGATGCGCCAGCCCTGACCTACATTCCCGGCTGCTCTAATGATCTGTGGAATGCCACAAATCAAACACTCCCCGAGACGACGGCGACCACTCTGCTCCCTCCGCTGCCAGCAACCTGCAGCCCTGTGGGGACCGGGAGAGGGAATGACGGGGAAACCTCTCCCCCTCCTCCCTCTGCCACCTCCCAATGAACTTGTCCACCCAGATCCTGCACACTTCCTCTCTTGGCCAAGTGTTGGAGCGATCATCCCACCTCGTGACGCCAGCTGTACCCTCTGCTCGAGGGAGAACTGCTGCCGGGACACCCTCAGCCTCGGTGAAAAGTTGCCTGTTTGGAGACCCAGTCTTTAAATATCGAATTGGAAAGTTTCCTCCCACTTTAAGCCATTGCCAGCAGCCGGGAGCGAGAGAGAATGCCCTGGGGAGGCTCCCCAGCACTCTCCAGCCAGGGACGGCCGCTCCTTGGCCGATCGCATCCACTACCTGCTCCCGTAGTGCTGGTCCTGGCAGGCCGGAGGAAGATGACGATGGAATAAAGTCGAATCCAGGTCATCCACATGGTCATGCACTGAGCCCACGGGCTTGAACAAAATATTTACAGAATCCGTTTAAATATCAGATTCTTATTTCTTCCATTTAAAGCAGGAGGTTCTTCCCAATCCCTTAAGAGGAGAACTGTGGGGGCTGGAGGAACTGAACTTTATATACACAAAGGAGACTCTGCTGCTGCCCGGAGGGTAGGAGATTGCAGAGTCCAAGCTGCCTTGTGGAGACAGGCGTGAGAACGGAGCAGACTGAGTGCAACCACACAGAAATCTCAGCAGCTTCCAGATCTGGTGCTGACTCGATCCCTGGGGCTCGTTCAAGCTCTTTGTGAGAGCGCGAACGCTCACCCATGGTCCAGGGACGCCTGTGGCATGCCAACAGATGCAGCGTACCAGCCAAGGGGATTCGAGAAAACCTTGGTAACATCCCGGACACCAAACCATCGGGAGGATTTGACCTTTAAAACCTAAGGGGGGTTCTGAACAAACTCTCCCATCGGCTGCAGCAGGGATGATCCGTCCCAGTGAGCGAGCAGGAAGGCTTTGGGTCGCTTACCGGGCAAGGAGGACGCACGAACACCGGAGAGTGGAGATGGTGGCAGCAGGACGGTCCCAGTCCCAGGGAGACCTGCACCTCCTGCTCCCCCGGGAATGGCAGACACGCAGCCCCGGAGGAGCCAGGCCACGTGCTTGGAGAGGAAAGCTCCTCTTCCGCACCACCTTCGACACGGCAGGCAGGAGGGCTCTGGCTCTTCCCCAGAGCTAGGTACAGCTTCACAAGTGGGGATTAACGAGGAGCAGCAGCATGGAAGTGATTCATCCGAGACTGCGTGAGGTTTATTGCCGGGTGAAGAGCCCAGGAATTCTGGCTCTTGCTCCCTTCCTTCCCTTCCTGGATCCTTGCAGCAGACAATGCTGCCTTCCCAGAGAGGCTCCAGGCAACATGAACTGTGCATACACCCGGCCTTGGCAATTGGAGGCACTTTCAGACCGTCTGCTGAGCCACTGGCCAAAGTCACCACTGGCTGCAGACCGGGAGGAGACTCTGCGGCTGAAGCATTCTTGCAGGGGGAGCAGAACTTTATTTATGTGTTGGCCGGTGCCACCATGCTCCCCTGGGAGCATCCAGGAGACCCAGCGCAAACAGACGCCGCTGTGCACAAACACGAAGTGAAAAGCTCCTCTCTCGGTGGCGGGAGCTGCCTGGACGAGTTGACGTTTGCTGCACTTTGATTTTCTGGTTGTTTTTTTTTTTTTTCTCCCATTCCCCTGGGGACTTATTTTTTTCCTGGGCATAGAAGGGACGCCAACTATTGTTCTGTAATTCTCCTTTCAGAACCAATGCAGAGTCCGGTCTCACTGGAGAGAAGTCTCTGCTGGCAGAACAGGTTATATAATATTCTTGCTCCTCTGGGGCATGATGCTTGCTGGATGAACCAGCTGTGAAGTCAAGTCAGATCAGAGGCAATACCATCACTAGCATCCTGCTGTTAAAGGGGAAGGGATCGTTATTGTCCTTTCAGTCAGTCCACGTGCTCAATTCCTTTTGCTTCTGATCAAGCGAAAAGGCTATGTTACCTCTCAGAACTGTCCTCTGCGAAAAAGCTAAGATTTCATTTCTTTGCAGAGCTTCTAAGCGTTTTTATAGGGCAAATGTAAAATAAATAGCAAGTAATAAAAGGAAAAAATGGCAACAGAGCTAATTCATAACACTACCACTTCTGAAAACGTCATGTTTTGGGTTTATTTTATCCTGGTTCAGAAAGAGCAACCTTCAAACGCCAGGGCCTAACCAGAGGTGTCCCAAGCACCTAACTCCTGGAAGCCCACATGGATAAATTACAAGGGAGTTTCTCTGCTATGGAAAAGCAATAGGCAATTGCATGCTAGAAGCCAGGAGAGAGGGAAGATCAGAGCAGTGCCGGTCTTTTCAGTGTTTTGGTTGAGTCAATCTGGTAGAGATAGCCCAACTGTTGGCTCTTGAATACCGAGAGTGCAATTCGGAGCGGGACTTGCCAACTTGTCTTGTCTCAGCGCTCCTTCTTTTCATGCGTCAACATGACTTAACGGCATGTAGGGCCTATGGAAACTTGACTGCTGCCCCAAGAAGGCTGCGATGTAAGTTAAGCCTGTACCAGCTGTACTGAGCTCATCCAGGGCCACACCATTCCTCAGCGCACAAGGGAAATGTCACGTTTCTCATCAATCACCACAGCAAGCAACGGGAGTGGACGGCGTGCCAGGACGAGGGACAGACTGTGGCAACTCTGAAATCAGACCTATTTTCTGGGGGAGGTTCTTAATATAACTGAAAAAGCAGTTTCATTAATTTTAAATAAAAAGCAAAGAAATCCATTAGTAGACAGGGAAGGAGATGGTAAGCTTCATGTTGTGGACAGGAGATTCCCCACACCAGTCTCGTTTCTGGATTAGTTCCCTGTCAGGTGCCAGCCACCAGCTCGGCCGACGGCACTCTGCCGGGCGAGAGCACATGGAGTTAGAGGCACGACCAGGCAAGACCTCAGGGGGCACACACCCTCTCTGCTCTGCAGTGCCACGGCGAGCTGACAAGAGCTGGCAGAAGAGGAGCTCCCCAAGGAGCACGCTGCCTCTCCCCTCTTCCGCTCATTTCTTGGTGGTGGGGAGGAGGCAGAAAGGATGGAGAGACACGATGGCAAAGCCAGTGCCTGAACAAAATAGCACAGACTGGCCAGGGGTAGGTGAAGGCTGGGAGCTGGTGGCATGTTTCATCACCCCGTGGCACTCCCGGTGTATCCAAACATGCCCAGGGGCTCTCTGAACCTCCCGCAGCTACACAAATACCTTCCCAACAGACTCATTCACGTAGAGGCAGAGTTCTGCTGCTATGTGAACTGCTGTGCACACCGCGGACTCCAACCTGCCCCAGCTACTACATGAGAGGAAGCGGAGCAGCTTCTCATTTCCCACACAGCCATCTAGATGGATATAAAAAATAACTTATTCCAAAGCAACCAATGGCTCTGCAGCCCCTCCATAGCTGCAATCATTAACAGTCTGGAACACGCAGCTGCTTGAAAGTCAAGGTGAAATTCACAACAAGGAAAGACCCCGAGTCCTCAGCATCACCACAGCCCATTTGAAAAACTCCGGGCTCAGCAGCAGCCGGTGCCCAGGATCAGTAACCGGGCAGCTGCTCTGCACGGAGACCAAAGCAGGGTTTTATCCTCTTCGGTTGGAAAACAAAGAGTCAGACTCAGAGAGAAATCTGTCACAGCGGGAAGTCAAAATTTATGTCACGCCTGAGAGAGTGCAGGGTTTGGGGACAACACAGGCAGACCTTGGCATGGTTTTTTTCAGTTAAGTCGGCATACTCACCACTGAGAGAGCGGCTCGGGGAGGAGTGCTGGCTGTTGGGTGTGCTCACCGTGGGTCCCACGATCGCCGAGCTGAACTCCTTCTCCAGAGAGGAATCCCCACTACCTTTGGGAGGAGGGAAACACAAATGAGTGATGCCTGAAGTATGGCTTGTGGGCTCCCACTGGCTTCACCCCACCAAGCCCTCTTCCCAGCATCTCTGCTTTGGAAGGGGGCTGCTGATGGGCCCTTCGGGGGGCTTGAGGACACAGCTTTTACCCCAACGACACTGTCTGCCACGCACACCAGCACAGGATTAGACAGGAGCTTGGTGCTTTCTGGACCACAGTCCTCCAGCTGTGACCTCCTCAGACACAACAGCCCCAAGCCAGCGTCCTGCCGACGGCAGCAGCATGCTTTGCTCAACTCGCCGGCTTGCAGAGAGGTTGCAGAAGGGGAAAGGGGTCGGCAGGCCACGCTGGAGGGCTCTGAGGGAGCTCTGGCTGGCACTGCAGTGAGGGGGCCAGGGCACCCCCCCGCACAAGCATCAATCCCCCACCGAAACGACCCGTGCCTTGATCTGCCAGGCTGACCCCACTGCTCTGCCTGGGCAAGCGGGTCCCTTCGCCAGGCATAGGGATCCCCCTCCCCGACAGTCCCTATTGAACTGACAATTCCCAAGCAGATACTCACGTCCCTGGGAAGCCGAGCCCACCCCGGACAGACCCTTGCAGTCCCTGGAACCAGGCCCTTGCCCATTCACGCTGGAAAGCTAATTCAGCAATACAGCTGCCTACCAGGAGCAAGCCCAGATCACCTCGAGCCCATGGCATTTGCGCGGCAGGCTAGACTCATTTTTTCCCCGTCGGGGGCTAGCAGGTTTCTGTTCCGGCAAGACCTGCTGTCTGCCAGCGCACAGAAAACCCCCGGTCCCCTGCCAGCCCTCCCCACCGCGCACCCAAGAGCTGGGCAGCTGCCTGCAGTGGCTGCTCCTCGGCGATGCTGTGGGGACAGGGACAGCGGAGTTTCACGATGGAAAGTGCAGAAGCTCCGTGAACGCCTTCAGCACAGCTGGGAATGTTATTTCTAAATACTTGCATCTGGAGAAACTCTTCTCTCGGTGCTCCCCGAGCCCAGTTCATCCCATTGTCTGATGACTACTGGGACGCTGAGCTCATCAGCCTCGCTGAGCATGGGAATCATTTATGGTAACTGCCCTCAGTGAGACAGCATCTTCTAAATTGCTGCTCAACTGACACCAAGCTGGGACACCCCAGCACCATCCTCACCCTCCCCAACTCCCCGCGGCAGCATTTTGAAGAGGTTTTCTTTCCTCCTGGGGTCACAGTAGGAGAGACTTCGAGGACCTTTCCCTCTCCCCTCCCCACACTTCGGTGAGCCTGGCAAGCTGCTGCCAGCGAGTTTGAGTCACGCAAAGCCTACGTGCACTGCCAGCCACAGCAGAAGAGGTTAATGAGAAGGCTGAACAACGAGCCCGGTGGAGGAAAGCACCCTGCTGCCGAGAAGGAGCTAGCCCCACATTACTCTGCAGGCTGGGGGCACATCCTGAGGCCGAAAACCAAACAGCCGCTGCGTGGGGTGAGACAGACCCTCTCAAAGGGTCTCGGTACATCATAAGTGGCATCCTGAGCCTACCTCACTCATATTCACGTCCACGGGCATCTCGGGGGGGGGTCAGGCCTTTCCTTCCCTCTCCTCCCTGCCAGCACAGGGGATTTCAGACACCTATAAATCACCCTCCAGAGTCAGTCCCTCTGCCCAGCACAGCCCCCTGCACCCCTTCTCCTCCGCGCACAGAGAGCGAGCAGAGACGGCACCGAGTTATTTCAGGATCCTCCCCCCCGCCGCTCCCGTTTAACTCGCATTATTCTACCTTGCTGGAGATACCCTGGAGTGTTATCACAGCCAACTCCTTGGAAACAGCGCTGGAGCCCAGGCTGCGTGTGCATGTCTGCGTCGCTGGCAGGGCGCACGCAGCCACTCACCTTCCAGGAAGAGCAGATTCCTGGAAGCGAGGGAAACGACCGTCATTTTACAGTCAGGCGGCATGGCGAGCGGGAACCCGGGCTGTGCCTCTCCCCGGCTCGGGGACACGCGGCTGTGGCCTTCAGAAAGCACGGAGCTGCACCGAACCAGCCAGGGACGATGCTCTAAGGAGGGAGAGGAGGGAGCAGGCACGGGATGGGGGATCAGGGATGCTGCGGGATCTCTGCTCTGCCTTCACAAGGCAGCCGGCTGCCCGGGGGCTCAATGACCAGGCAGAGGACCCGAAATATCATATCGGTGGGAAATACAGGATCCAGTGACCGGAGGGAGAACAGCATCATCCCCAACATCAGCCTACAGTCAGCAATGGCTCATTTGGGCTCTGACCCTCTTGCATTGAAAAGGGATGGGGACACCAAAGCCTCGGTCCTCAGCTCCAGAAACAGAGCAAAACTGTCTCATATTAAACTCCTCCAGCCATCCGGTGTGTCCGGACCCAGAGCACACCAGAGCCAGGCAGCTCTGGAGCAGATGCTCAGCCCAGAAGACTGGCACTTCACACCTTCTCAGCACTCTGCATACACAAGCATATCCATACCAAACAGCCAAAGCCCACAGTCACGACACACGAGACCACGGCCTCAAGTTGCAAGGATGCTTTTAGGCAGAGTTTCCAGGTGAGCTTACCTTGGCATGCAGTTCCCATCCTACAAAAAAAAACCCCCTCCTGGTCCCAGGTTTAACCCTGAAGATATGATCAGGGCTCATTAACAAAGCATCCAGGTGATGCTGACAGCAGGAAGAGCCCCGCTGCACTGTTTTACAACCTGTTCCCAGCTACTGCCAATCTCCGATGTACTGGAGAAAGGTTAAAAAACCCACACTAGAATTTAAGTTAAACATTAAGGAGAAAGAAGAAGTTAATTTCTCCTCAGTCCCTTCAAGCATAAAGGCAGGGCACAGCATCCCATTTTCAGCTCAAAGCTCAGCTCCTCTGCCAGCTAGCTTCATCCTCCAGATCCCAAAGGATCCTTCTTATCCCAAAGGATCCCCAATCTCCGTCTGACTGGAAGCACCAAGGGATAACTGAGCTGATCCTTGGCACCTAGCCCTCCCTGAAACAGGGGTCAGGCCAGCGTGAACCTTTGCACTGCCAAGAGCCTCTGCTCCCCTGGGAGGGATCACTGTCAAACCCACGCAGAGCCGCACAGACCTCAGCCAGGACCCCCTCTGCCAGAAAATCACACCCCCACCCCCACCGGGGATGGGGCTTTTCCCCTCCGTGCAGCAGGGAGTCTGACACTGGGACCCCCGATAATGGCTCCTGAGGGCGGCTCGGAGCCCCGGGAAGGTGGGCAGGCTGCCCGCTGCCGACAGCAAGAGCTGAAGCACTATCCCACCCCTGGGAGCAACCAGCGCCTGGTTTCGACGGTCTCTCAGCAATTTCCCTCTCTGATAACTTTTCAGACTTGAGATTTCAGGAAATATTGGGTCACATTTCATTTGCTCTAAAAAAAACAAATGGAAACCTGAACGTCAGGCAAGAGACAGTTCGTCTGTCTGTAGCCCAGTTATCCAAGGAGCTGAGAGCATTTAACCCTGTTCTCAGGTGACAGCACCCAAATAAAAGAGGGTAAAATGGAGGAGATCTGGGGTGTTTTGGGGAGCAAAGCTGCGGCGGGAGGACAGCCTGAAAACTTCCCCTGTCTTCCATCAGCCTCTGACATGCACACACACAGGCAAAAGAAGCAGAGGCAGACTTCCGAGGGTGCTCGGCCATCCCAGGGAGCGAGGGAGGGCCAGATCCTGTGGGAAACTGCAGTGGGACGGGGACCTGATCCCACCCTGCCCGCACAGGGCATCCTTGGTCTGGGATGAGGTGGCTGGTGAGGCTGCTCTGGTGCTTTCTTCTGCACAGAGCTGTGCTGGCTTGGACAGACCAAGGTGCTCAGCCCTTCTTTACTATCTGCAAAATGGCAATGCTGCCCAGCACGCAGGACCGACACAAGCAAAGAGCAGCAAAGCCGTTATCTGCATGATCCGAATGCTGTTTCTTTGGGTTAAGCATCTACAGAAGGACTTACAGCCCAAGGAGGTGCCACCCAAGGAACCGGCATGCAGCACGGAGAGGTCTCTTGCCCGCCTCCACCTTGTTCCTACCCCCTCTGTGGTAACGACTCTGTCTCTACCAGAGCTGTTTCAAAACTGACTTATTTTCCTGTGAAGAATTCAAAGGAGAAAAAGTATTTCACATTCACGAGGAGTTTCCGGGCTTTCGGTTACCTTGCTATTTGACGAACATGAACTTTTTCTTTTTTAAGAGTTCGTTTAATTAAACATATTTCACAGAAACAAGTTTCAAGAGCTCTGCTGTTTGTTTCCTCTAGTCATTTCAGATCCACAGCAGCTCAGTGACCCGAAGCGGCTAATTGGCAGGCCTTGACCCTGACGATTAGCTGATTGTCGTTAGGCCTGCTCTGACCCCCAGGCCAGGTAGATAGGCTGGGCAGCATAGACTTTGCTCCACTAGTACCAGGGAACTCAAAAAAAGAAAATCCACCCTGGCCAGGACAGCCTGCAGAGCTCCGGTAATGCTGCGGTAATGCTGCTTTTCCCTTCTCCCGTCCTTTAACCGTTCCCCTTCCCTCCAAACTCCAGGAGCTGCTTAAACCTCAGATCCCCAGGACTTCCAGCACTGAAAGCTCACATGCACCCCAAGAGGGATTTAGGCTGTGCCGAGGGAGATGGGCTTTTTCTGTTGCCTCTTTTCGGACCTTCTTTCTGGGCTGCAGCACCTCCATGCTTGCGGGGAATCATGGACCTGCCGCAGGGACCATGGGGAAAGGGGGGAGGCTCACCCATGGAACTCCCTGAGGAAAAGCAAAGCCACAGCTCTGCAGGCGACATGGACCTCCGCGCCGAGCACACCCACACACCTCCAAACTCTGCTGGAGGATGGCGGCGAGTGCCGGGGGGACACGGTTCTGCTGAGCGGAAAGCTGAGTGAAGCTAAGAAAGCAGCCGCTTTCAGAAGGCAGCCGCCCTGGCACAGTGCGATCAGCCAGCTTCAGGGAAGCATTTTGTTATTTAGTGGAGACATTCTGGCAACTAAAATCCAAGCAGCAAACTGCAGTGAGCGCCTTGAGAAGAGCCAAGCATCTAACCCAAGCAGGGATCCTCCGGGGATCGGAGGAAATCTTCATAGAAAGAAGGAGCACACAATAACTCTGAGGATGAACTTTGTCAGGACGTGCAACATGTAACGTGATTTATGCAAAGGGGCGTTGTGCAAGGTCCCCCGCGCAGCTCTGTCAATGCACCAAGTCCCGGCCACCACAACCGCTCGTTAGAACAGCCGGGGTCCTCTCTCCCTTCCAATGCACTTCAACTTCTGACCTTCATCCCTGCTGAGCCATTCATCCCCAGCACCCCCCCCAGCTCCTCCAGCTCACAGGGCTCGCACAGAGACGTCCTCCTGCCTCTCATGTCGCTGGGGCCAGATGAGGTAATCGTGAGAGTTTCTTCTGGCTTTGCCTCTTCTAAATCTACATCAGGTCTTACTCTAATCCCCCCCTTCTCCTGAGCAAAGATGGACAAACTGAGGTGTTTTCACACTGCAAACACCAGTCCCCCAGAGATAAGAACAAATCCCACCAAACCAGCTTTCACTTACAGCCCATACCAGCTGCGAGCCAGGTTTCTGCAGGCCACCAGATAATCTAAATCCCCCCAGTGCCACCAGGGTCCCCTCTGGAGATGGTCACTGGGGCTGCAACCCCCTGCACGGCAGCTCCGGTTCATGCGAACCCGATGGTTACGGAGCAGTCTGGCATGCCAGCAGCTTCCAGCACCCAGATCTAGCCCAGCCCCAGGCTGCCTCCCCCTCTCCCCACAGACATTTCATGGCTTTATGTCTGGAACTCAGCCTGGTTTTAATCTTAACGCACACCGATAGACAACAGCGCTGGACTTGGTGAGGCGCACAGCTGAGATCACCTGCGGGGGTCTTAAATATCGCACTGCTTCCAGTCGTGGGTTTGGCATCGTGCATTCAGCGTACCAGAGAGTGGGACTAAACCACCCATTTCATGAGCACAGTCAGAAGCCCTGAAGGAATGACCAGCCTCCCTGAGACCTTTCGGCACTGGGACTGCACAGCCATCGCAGGAAATACATTTTCCTTTCGGCTTGCAGCTAGGGTTGAAACTTCACCTATTGCTGGCGTGCCAGCAGCCACCCACCGGCTCAGCAGGTGAAGACACAGGCACATAAACTTCACTGTAAACTACCAGGGCTCAGCCTAGGTACCGTTTTTTCAGTTAGCTGTTTATTCTGCCATGGGCTTTAACACTTCTCAGATACTTAATGAAACAGGCTGATGTTCTGAATACTGTTCCTCAATGCTTAATCTGTGATGGCGACAGCAGCACAGCCTCGGGCAAAGCAGCCAAGCACAGGACAGCTTATACCCAGAGGATGAGACTGAGCACCTTAAAACGTTAGCAACCCAAAATAGCCGGCAAAAATCAAGAGCAGACGTACCAGATATGTAAGATCGTCCATTACAGTCTTCTATATCCATCGTTAAGGTACTTTGCTGAAAGAGAAAGCAGAGCTCAGTCAGAGTTAGCCTCCAGAAGCTGCTCAGACTCTCCTCCTCCACTAAAACTGCCCAACAGCTTCTCGGAGCAGACGAGTTACTCTACCCCAAGTTCCTTTAAGGCTGCTTTGCAGCCCTGGGCTTAACACCGTCAACACTGACTTCACCATCAACCCCAGCAGACTACACTGATCCTCCCATATCTGAGCAGTGCTTTCCAGGCACTCCTCTTGGAAAGTGAATGCCAACACCAGCAGCAAGCGGTGGTCCTGGCAGCAAAGCTGCGATGCTGTGGATGAACGCCACAGTAAACATGGAGGGTTTCATCCCCCGCATGCAGACCACCACCACCGCTGCTCTGTGGCACGCATGGGAAACGGTGTTAGCTCTTAAAGCCAAACATGGGACACTTGGAGCGGGCAGAGACAGAGGAAGAGCAGCTGCCAGCTCCCCTGGGACAGCTGAGAGCTGGAGAGTCACCAGTCCAGATGGACAGACGGCCACTGCCACAGCCCCAGGAAGCAAGGTGGGCCAGCAATTTGCTTCTCCCACTCCGGCAAGGGGCTGCTGCTGGGAACCAACATGGTCACGCCAGACACTGCAGCAGGGCAATGAAGTCTTGAGCGCGGGACGTGCATAGCCAAAGCACTTGGCTTCATTTTATCAATAAAAAGAATCGGGGTTTTGGGCAACCAGACCGAATGCTAACGTACCGCGCTCTGTCGAGCAGCCTTGCAACAGCCTTTCCAACAACCACACCAAAATAAAAGGGAAATCTGCCTTATATTTTGCTGCTTGGCACCCCACGGAGATAATGAACATTTTATACATTCAAATGGCTTTTATTTGTCAATTACACTGGCTGTTTAAAAAACAAAATGAGCCCAGTTTTAGAAACAGGAGTTTTGCTGTTTAGGGCAGGCTCTAATTGGCAGTTGATAGGGTCGGAAACGGAGTGTTTGCTGCAGAGAACAATTAAAAAAAGCAGTAATTTGTGGAGATGAATCGTCTCCTTAAGAAGGAAAAACAACGTGATTTGCAGATTGTGAGCACACACAAGCAGCAGCAACGCTGTTCATTTCCCCCTCTGTTTTTCGAGCAGCTGATACATTGCAGACAGCGAGGCTTTCTAGGGGACTTTGGTACCTTTTCCAGGCTCAAAGAAATCAGTCGCTCCCTTCTGAGGGTGCTCCTTTTAAAAGCAGATTTTTAAACAATAACTGCTTCTTGAATGAACCAAGTTGTACAAGTCTTGCTCCTGGCAACACACCACTTGAGATACATACAGATGCGGACAAGGCACATTAGGCTGGGCTTATCACCCCATCAGACCTGATGACTTGCTTGATGTTAATTAAGAAGAAACGCTCTCACCGTGCTCCACTTAACTGCAGACCTCACACAGGGGCTCGCTGCTTTCGGGGAGGCTTTCACCAGCTGAAAGTATACCAGTATACACCCAGTCCAGCCCAGCGATACCCTGTGGCAGGTCCCACCCGGGGTGTTTTTCCAGCCGTCCCCGTGCGGTTTGGTGACAGGCCAGCAAGGTGATGACCCCCCCTCCATCACTGGTACCCAGGATCCCAGTGCTGCAGGTCCCGAAGCCTGACCGGGGAGATGGAGACACCCGGTTCCGATCTCCCCGTCGGCAGCAGGATGCAGACTCCCAGACCTGCTCCAAATCTGCACATAAAAAGTGCCTCGTACCCCGGGCTGCCACAGGTACTGTGGGAATTACATTGGTTATAGGGGCTGCGCAGAATAAGGAAGCACATGGGCTAGTGCCGTAACACCTCCGCTATTCCCTTCCCTGCCATCTGTGTCACCCAGACAGAGGAGGACACCCTGGCATGGATGGCAGTCTCCCAGCCTGGGCAGCGAAGGAAAAGCCAAGCACTTCAGAGTTCCCCTTCCCACCCCATGGTGGCTGTTAATTTCATGAAATGAAAATAATTCAGGTTGAAATCTCTCTCTCAAGCACTGGGTTACACAGGAACTGTGGTTTAAAATGCATCCTGCGGCTTTATTTTTGTTGAACTCTTAATTTTGCTTTTCTGCATTACGCACACCCGCTCAGAGATCTGTCTGCTTTGCACAAAGGGCGCAGCAACGCACTAATAAAAATCAATTTTATTTAGAAAGCCCTTTCTCTCCTGTACTCTGCAGAAGCCCTTGAAAATACAAAATTAAACAAACAAACAAGCACCAAGTGATGGTCCAACGCGCACCACAGGTGAACGCACAGCATGGAAAGCTGCCAGCATCGCCCCCTCCCGAACCCCTCACCGCCTCCCAGGGACCCGTCCCACCCCAGGCTCGTGGCTGAGGCCAGGGACAAGCAGGACCCCGGTGTCCTCCCTAAACCACAGGCAGCAGACAGCAAGGAGTGAGAATGAGAAATTAATTTCCCTCAAAGTAATCAGCTAATAATCAGCCAAACACAATTGAGTTGAGGAGCCAGTTCTGTAACTCCTACTTCCTACTCATGCACGCGGTCTCATTAATGTTAACAGAATGATGTGCAATAAAAGAGATTGATTCCTCGCTCCTTTGTATTTTAAAAGAGGACCCAGAGAAAAACATTGGGAGCGTTTCAGGAGCCCCGAGCCACGTGTCAGCAGTTATTTTCCTTAATTTTGGCTGAGCGTGAGGCCTTCGCAAGCAGGAATTGCAATTTACAAAATTGCAAATTAAAAAAAGCACCTAGCTCGCAAGAACCTACAGCTCTGCGGTAACGATGGCCCATAATTAACCTTTGGCTGGAAAATGGTTCTGCGTGTCGTTTGTTCCCAGAGTCCTTTTAATTTTGAAAAGCACCGCAAAAAGGCTGTGCAGCCGGACTGGCAAAACCAGTCCCATGTCACGGACCGGGTGAAAACACATCCCCGGGAGAAAGGGGTTGCTTCCAGGGATTCGGCTTCGGCTCGTCCCCGCTCGGTGCTGGCACAACAGGGAGCGACACCAGCTGCCTCCGAGCTCCCCCTCAACACCACTAACACCCGCCCTCCATCTCCACAAAGAAGGGCAACGCCTCACCAATCCCCCTCGGAGCAGAGCCCCAGCCCGCAGCACAGCGTTCGTCCTCTCTCCAGAGGGAGGTCTTGGTCAGGCAGCGTGGCGAGGACCGGGACCGGGGCCAAACCTCCACGCTTTGGACCGTCAGGCGCAGAGAGCACGTCTCTGTCTCTGGACTTTCCTCCCAGCTTTCAGGTGTGATTGTCAACTTGGGAATCGGAGAGAGAAGTGCACTAAAATTAGAGCAGAGCGCCTTCAGCGCTGCTCGACGCTCTCCTCCCCTCTGAAATAAGGACTTTTCCCCAAGTGGCAACACTCAAGGAAAAAAAAAAAAAAGTCCTCAGAACTAGCCCAATTTAAAAAAACCTCCATTTCAGCATGATGCAATTTGTGAATGTCCTTTGCACTAATAACAAGAGGCTTCTTAAGAAGGCCAGGCCTGGGTGACCCTCCTGCACTGGGAGGAGGGCCGGGGCTTTGCTTATTCCTGGGATGGCAGAAATATCCCAGAGACTGGAAAAGTCTCTTAGATCCCACCCAGCCCAGCGCGCCGGCTGCTTCCACACACCCTCCAAAGCAGGGCTCCCATCAGCTCCCTCTGGAGCCCGTTTTAACCCCTATTAGCCTCGCAGTCTTTAGGAAAGCCACCCTATTTTCTTCCCCTCTTAACTTCTCCCCAGTGCTTCTGGTTATACCTCAAGATCTGTGAAACGACTCCTAACGCTCGGCACCAGCAGCGAAACACTTCTCCACCTCCAGACGCCACGACGGCAGGAAAAGACACCCCAGCCCAATTACACCAAGATTATTTTTAAGATTACAACATCAGCCCCCACAGAGGGTAAATACACAGCTCCTGCCAGACTTGAACAGAAACCAGCCAGAAACGTCAAAACCCTTCAGTCTGCCCCGTTTCTCTGCTGGTCCGGCAGCACGGCTTGCAGGCAGGGATTGCTTCCCGAGAGGCGCCCGGTGCGCAGACACCCAGGTCCCAGCCTTCCTCAGCTTCTGCTGCACCAAGTGCCTCCCAAACACCACATCTCTCTCTGTAGTGAGGTTTGCCTCCCGTCTCCCCGCTGACCTGCTGCAGGACAGCTCGGCTCGGCACTGGTGAGACTGGCATCGCCATAAGCAGCGAGCCCGTGGCGAGAAGAGAAGTGGCACATGCAGGGGGAAGACATGCTCGGGGCGAACATCTTCAGGCCTCCTGTCGGGGTAAGAATTAGTAAGCGCTGTAAAGGTCCCCGCAGTTTCTTTTTCCCAACCATTGTTTCCATTAGCTGCCATTTATTTTCCAACGTGAGGACTTTTTTTCCACCTTTGCTGCAAACAGAAGCTCGCTGAAGAAACCATCTGCTCAAAAAACCCAAAAGTTTGTGTCACTGGAAACACTTCAAAACCCAGCGAAGGGGAAAGCCTTGCTTTCACGGAGAACCCCCCCATCCCGCAAGCGTCCCCGATTTCAATGCCGAGAAAGCAGCTCTGCCGCATGTCTGCCGTCACTGGGGAAGACCTTGGCTCAAGCAGTTCAACAGAGGCAGAAGTGAATGGAGCTGCCTTTCAAAAGCAAAAATTAAAGGGTTGTGACATGTTTTATCCATTATAAAATACTTGCCATTGTTTCCATATTTTGAAATATATTATTAAATAAGATGAAGCGTCACTGCTAAAAAAAAAAAAGTGATTTAGTGCAATTCTGCGGCTGGAGGACAGCAGCTGACAGCTCCTCACCGCTAAGCTGGGGAGAGACGAGACCCTTCATCTCCTCCGACATTTACAATCAAGGCTACACTGGAGTGAAGCAACACCGTGCAGCGCTGGTGGGAGAGAGGCAACAGGAATATTCTTAGGTTACTGCTTTAGGGATGGGAAGAAAAACTTCCTACACCCCACTGCTAAGCACTGATGCTGGGGCTAGTCACACCAGCAGAGCTGACGCGGCCACTGCAGCCGCCTGCATGAGCCCGGCCTTGCAGCGGGGTCCTAAACCACAAAGATGGGTCTGATATCACCCCCTGTGACCTCACAGGGTATTGACTGGAGACCATCTCCTAGAGAACGCCTGCACTTCAGGTGCCTTAACCCAAGAACTGAGCAAGCATGGCTGCAATTTCTGTCCTTTTTATAAATAAAACAGGGGAAGAGAGAGAGAAAAACCCTCTGAGGATCCAGACCAGTGATTGAAGCGAGGTCCAGCAGCGGGCAGGTGAGATGCCAAGTGCTGTCTCCCATCGAAGCGGGGATGTTATTTGTCACTAATATTCACTGCCTGGAGAAGCTCCTCCCCGCTGGAACCGCTCCTAACGCTAACACGACAGGACACGAGCCTTGCCTGCTCATTGACATAAATTCGTTTAAAAGCCTGCTGACGGAAAAAGCACTATAAACCAGCACAGTGTAAAATGTAAAA